TCCCGGACCTGCCTTCTGGCCTCCCACCCTAACTAGTTTTCCCTCCACGTACTTTCCCAAGGCACTTGGTAGCATTCTGCCACGATTCAGAAATGTTTGTTGATTGCCCCTGCTATCCTAGACGGTGTTGGGACAAGCACTGGCTGACAGTGGAGGTGGGGACCTGTGAGGCGAGGCTGGCAGTGGAGAAGGAAGATGTTAGAGTAGAGAAAGAACACAGGAACAGGAAAGGTTTTTTTTTTTTGTACTTTATTCATGTATATCCTGATGCACATGTGTCATTCAAGCTGGACAGGGTGACACAGGCCTGTCACCTCAACACTTGGAAGCCTGAGGCAGGAAGATGGAGAATTCAAGCTCGCTCTGGGTTATACAGTGAGACCCTGTTTCAAAAACAAACAGACAGACAGACACAGGCAAGCAAAAGCAGTTTGTGTGTTTAGTTATTCATAGAAGTATGTGACCAGACCCAATCTGAAGCCTTTCCCTCACCCCCCAAAAATCCAGGGAGCCTTTAGCTGTGCCTGTAGCCTGTCCCCTCACCATTCTAAGCAGCTGTTAACACATGCATTGCCTTTGGGGTTCCATCCGCAGCTGTATAAGCTCCTGCTGGTTCCCATGATTTCCTTCTAGGTCTCCAGAGGAGCCCATCGGACACACACCTGGGACGGACTATGACTGACAGAATGGACCTGAGCGTGCATTTGGCACTCCTGTGGCAGCAGACATCCTTGCCCTCCCTCTTCCCTCCCTCCCCCCTCCCTCCAGCACCTGCATGGGCTCCAGTCTCACATTGGACAAAGAGGGTAGATAGTCGCACAGTGCCGCGGGTGCCCTTGGGCTGGCTGCCCCTTGCCGTCCTTTCTCTAACTACTAGCTGCGCGGGCCTGTCCTACCTGTCGTCCGGCTTCCTGCATTGCTTCGTTTCAGGAGGAGGGTCGCATCTCATCGTAGTCAGAAGTTGGGGGGTGGGAACGGCGTCATGCAGGAGTTGATTGCACAGCCATTCAGCTCCTATATGATGCCTTTCTTCACCCCCTTCAACCGCGTGTGGCCTCCGGACCCTCCTCTGCACCTTGGGCTTCACCGGGATGGGATGGATGTATAGTCCAGCTTGCTGCTTCCTTGCATGCTTTCTTTCTCCCCACAGCTCTCCAAGTTCCTAGAGGGGTATGCCTGGGGCTGGGCCATCTCTGAGGTCCTTCCTTGGAGGGGGAAGCTGTATCCCTGGTGGGACATTCCCTGGGGCTGGGCCAAGGGTCACCCCCTGACTCTGTGGCCAAGGGTAGACAGGTCAGAGGTCGATCCTGGGCCTACCCTGGGGCTTCTCCCACTGGGATTCCAGGAGCTGTTCTCTCTTGGATGCCCTCTGAGGGGACCCAGCTCACAGGACAAAGGGGTGGATCCCAGAGAGATGGTGTCTTTGTTTCCAGGACAGGGGGCAGGGCTGGAACAGAGCAGGGCTGAGCCATACCAGTGCTCCCAGAACAGGGTCTCCTTGAGGGGCCTCTGCCTCTATCCAGGATTATTTTTTTATGACCAGGAGGCTGAGGTCCCTTACAGGCGGCCTCTCACTCTCTCCTTGAGCCCTTTTGGAGACGTCTCATCTCACTCACTGCAGACCGTGGATCCCCTGGGAGCTGTCAGAGTCACCTTGTTCTTCCTCTGTGGCACCCCTGCTGAGGCTGGGTGCCCATAGACACTTCAACAGCACGATGAACGACTGGCATAGAACCCTGTCTTCTGTACCCCAATAGCTTAGGTCATTGCATGCATAGGTGGGGGGAGGGGCGCCCATCTCCATCCCCACAGCACTACGGTTATTAACTGCATGTACCAGCTATGGCAGCCAGCCCAGGCACACAGGAGTAACCTGAGTGGGGGGCCTTGAAGCCGTGAAAGGACTTGGGAGCAGGACGGGGAGGACCCAGGCCCCCACCTTCCCCCCACCCTCCCCTTTCCTCCATCTCTCCCTGTTCCCTGTGCCCTTCCTCACCCCCCCCCACCGCCATCCACCACCCTTCTCCTACCTGTGCACCTTACTTACCTCTTTCATGGTATCAGGATTGTCATGCTGGCCCCCTGAACTCACACAGGTGGATGGAAGTCCAGATGAGGTTCGCTGTTCAGGTCTCAGATCATGTCTGATGGGCATAGATCATAACAAGTGGTTCTCTGTGCCCAGCAGCAGGGCTAAAGGTGGGTAGGGGCAGCTGGGGTGGTGGTGATAGTTTCTCTGTCACCTTTCCCTTTCTTACTTTGGGGCCAATCCAGATTACCCAGGTGTAGGGGGGATCTTCTTCCTCTGCTCCAGCCTGGTCAGGAGCTGGTAAAACTCTTGGCTCAGGGTCCTGCGTAGGGACCCCTAATGTGACCCATGGTCACCTGTAAAAGGGAGTAGCAAATCCAGTCTTGCTGGTGAATAGCTGGAGTATATGTTGTCACCAGCTCTGGAATTGATATGCCTGGCCTGAAGCCTGCAGGGGCATCTTATAAGGGGAGGACGGAGGCAAGGGAGGGGACAAGCAGGGTGGCCAAGGGAGGGCCTTGTGCTCTTCTTTGTTCCTGGATGCTCTCAGAGCTCTCTGGGTGGGGATTGAAGCTGGGAAGTGGGGGCACTTCCTCAGTGGGTGGGGTTTGCAGTCAGGGGCTGGTCTCTGATTTTCACCTTTACTGTGGTGGGAGTGATGTCATCATCACCTAGCAGGAACTTTCACACCAATTTCTTACTTTGCTTTTTTTTCTCTTCCCCAGGAGAAAAAAAAAAAGGTTTGTGTTGTGCTTTTCAATCTCTATAAGTGGCTCCGCCGATAACCTGATAACCTACGGTTTTAACACTAGTTCTCTTTGCAGCCTGGGCTGCCTTCTTCTCCTGTAAATGGGGACAAAGCCCCTGCTGGACAGATTGGCAGGCCACTGGGCCTTTATTGGTCCTTCATAGGCTGTGTATGTGCGGGCTATGGGTAAACGCGCCCACCTTTGTGACCAGCATCACTGCCAGCCCCTTGACAGGCTCCTGGGCCACTGCCAAGGTTTCTTTTTAACTTTTTTACTTCTACTCCCACTTGTTAGAGAAGGCCTTGGGTCCCCTGGCCGCAGCCGGGACATCAGAGGCATTTGCACATCCACTGCACTCACAGAGGGCCTCACCAAGCAGGGACAGACTTGTGTTCTGGAGGTCCAGCTTTATGTATGGGGTCCCCAGGAGAATTAAGTAGGGTACAAGAATGGTGTGTTTGTTCTCCCCATGAGGACCCCAGTCCCACCTTGAGGTCATAGACACTTCTTAGGAATTCTAAGCAGAGTGTCATATTGGGCAGGGCGTACTTTAGGAAGCAAAAGCCCTGATGGCAACCTTGTCTTGAAACTGACCTCCCCTCCTAGGTTCCCCGCTTAGGGAATAGGAAGGCAGGTCAGTGGGAAGATAGTCACCCTGTCACTTGGAGGCTGGGACTTCCATAAGCAGTTTATAAGGGAATGCTGGCATTGTTGCAGCTGAGCCTCTGACTTGGACCATACTGTGTCGTTTGGGGCTGTCATAGATAGACAGGCAGACAACAACAGCCTCTGTCTCTGGGGGCTGTTGTGATGTCAGCTGTGCGTGGGATCCCGTGTTGGGTTCTGAGACCATAGGTTATGTGGGTAGACGGTCCCAAGGTGACAGGATAAAGGCCATGAAGGAGGTTCCCGAGGCCTCTCTCTGGCCGTGGCCTTCTGGAGTCCTCTCTGCACCCTGATTTTCTGAACAGATGACACCAGGAAGTCCCTGCATGAGATGGAGGGTAGGAACTCTGTGTTGATTGCACTCAACACTTTAATTGTGACCCCTTTGAAATCTTCCAGAAGCCCCCTATAGCTCTGTGTGATAGACAGGGAAACTGAAGGTAGGAAGTGTTGTCCTGTTTACAGGGGCCTGGCGGGGAGGGACATTGGCAACTTCTTTAAGAGCAGGAAAACTGCTAAAATGAGGCTGAGCCCCTGACCTTGAACCTGGGATCCTGCCCATGATCTCACGGTGCTGCCGTCAGGGGTACATTCCTTGTTAGAGAGGCTAAACAGTAAGTAGCCAGTCGCTCCTTAGGACCCACAAGGGCACAGTGGTACTATGGGCTGGAGAAGGTATAGAGATCTTCTGCTCTCAGGGGTATTTCTCAGGGCCCCAAGCTCACTGTCCTGCTACAGTGGGATCACACTGGGTTGTCACATTGGGTGTCCAGGGCCTTGACACATTCTCAGGACAAAGGAGAGTCTCTTGGGGTTAACTCGAGGTCAGATTTCCAGGCAGGATGTAAAGGGCAGAGCTAGTATCCCTTGGATGTGAGGGCCCTGTGCATTGTATCACCATTAAGGTCACACTGGGAGGGGTCCTGGGTTTTGTACCCCAGCCTGTTTGCAGACTTCCAGTGGAGGGGGTGCTTCTGAATAGGGTTACAGACTTGGTGAGTGAGGGCTACTAACCCCATTTCCCTACTCCCTCAGGAGCTCCTTCCTCTCCTCAGACCAATGTACTCCCAGGAAAGCCATTTTTAGAGCGGGGATCTAGGCCTTCTTCATTGGGGGCAACTGTGGGCATGGGTCCAAGGCAGTCCTGCGGACCCTCCTTAGCTGGGAGCATAGAGCACAGCCTGGCCACTCCTCATTTCTCATGTGACTAGAAGGCTGGGACTAGAGAAGAACTGGGATTTCTGGGCACCCTCCCTCTGCCAAAGGAGCTCCTTTGTCCCTTTCCCACCTGTAGCTCCTCTCGGAGTGAGTCTGAGGGGATGAGAGAGGAGTGGCTTTCTCCTTCTTAGGAGAAGCAGGGAGGCTTTTTGCTATGTGTCTCCATGAGCTGTTTCAGGAAAGAGCCAAGCTCTCCTGCCCAGGCTCCTCCCACCCTTGTACATGCCCACCTTCAACCCTTTGTGCATACTCTGTCCTTTCTGCTCCCATGCTCACTGTTTCCCAAACCTGTCTCCTGCTATCACACCTTCCCTTTGAGAACAAACCACAAAGCCAGATAATCTTTTATTCTCTTTATTTGTGGGGCAAAAGCAGAAGTGGGATGGAAAGAATAGGAAGGTGCTCCTTCCCATGACAAAGAGCAGTGGTCTGCACAGAGCACTCTGGGCTCCTTGGCACAGCAGGCTGGGTGTCTGGGGCTTCACCAGTGTCCTTGGGGGCTCCCTCCTTTATGTGGGGTCTCTGGCCCCTGCACTGTCCAGCTGTCAGTTTTGGGAACGGGAGCCCCACCTGGTGCTACCACCTTTTCTGGTAGTCCCTGAGTCTCAGGGACCTTCAAGGTGGGCAAGTCTATCAGGTAAGTCGCACTGGTACGTCGGATGCCCTGCAGAGCAGCTCTGCTCAGGTAAGTTCAGAGTTCAGGGTCAGATGAAGTGTCAAGGGAGCCAGACCAGATGGGTAGTGTGGGGTGGGCTTGCTTGCTTGCGGGGTGGGCTGGGAGGCACGGCACCACAGTACCTCGGGAGGCTGGGAGGGGGTGGGGATGGAGCCCAGGGGAGTTGGAGCACCGGTGCGGAGGTAGAAGTCAGTGGAGCACCCGAGGTCAGTGTCCCAGGATGCACAGGTGGCCACACGCCACTCAGGTGGTGGTGGGGAGGGGCTCCCTGGCATCTGCTTGCTTGGCTGCACCCGCTATGTCTGCTCTGCATCTGGCCTGGGGTGACAGGGTCATTGTTGCTCATCACTGCTTCCTCCTCTCAATGATCTCACTGCCGGCTGTGGGTCTGAGGCCCGTTCAGTTAGGACAGGGCTGCACAGTCTTGGACAGTTAAGACAGGGTTGCACACAGTCTTGGACAGTTAGGACAGGGTTGCACAGTCTTGGCTGGTTCTGGGACGCTGATAGTTGGCTAGTCCTTGAACACAGATGATGTTGCTGGTGGATGAGTTGAAGTTGTGGCCCTTCACAAGTGGGTTCCCCTTGGGTCAGGAGTGGCAGGAGGGGGCACTGGATTTGAGCAAAGCTAGCTGAGGCACAAGGGAGGATGGCATCAACTTTGTTGTGTTTTCAGTCAAGTTCATCATCTGATGAGTCTGACAGTGCTTCTAGCCTTGCCTGTTCCCTGGCTGGGGAAAGTAGGGCCATTCTGGAGGCCATGGTCAGGAATCGTGTGAGGGCCCGAGCCACCTCATCTCTGCTGAGCAGAGTAAGCCGGCCATCGGCACCAAGAATGTAGAGTAGGCGGTTGTTGAGGAAATCTAGGACCTCTGGGTCCATCAGATTTCGCGGGCGGAAGGTGACCGCTTCTTGGTCGCCAAGCAGGGCTTCTTGCACGTCGTTGTCCTGCGCGTCCTGCGAGGTGTCTTGCAGGCCGTCATGCAGGCCACACTGACGGTAACGTTGCAGGTCGTCTTGCAGGGCTTCTCGCAAGACGACATCTTCATCACCAACGACGTGCAGCTCTAAGTATCGTTGCTGGTGTGGGTCCGGGAAGATGTCCTCCTCGGGGTTGACTCTGACCCCGAAGAACTCACACAGGGTCAACCAGAACCCTGGGGTGAATCGCAGGCCCCGTGGGGGCTGGGAATGCAGGGCATTCCGATGCCAGCACCTGGGACTCAGGTATAGTTCAGCCAGCTCTCGAGCTGGGAGGGTGTTGGCCCGCGCTACAGGGGGCATCTGGCTGAGCAACTGAGTGATGGCTGTGGCCATGCCACTACCTGCAATGAGGCTTGAGTCCAGGATGAGCCGGAGTGTGTGTCGGGGCTCAGGCCTGGCCACCTCCAAAGAGGGGGCAGGCAGTGGGGAGAGGGGCTGCGTCACCCTCATCATCGCCAGGAGGGACGCCACACCCAGGACACTCTTCCAGTAGAGCAGGCCACGGAAGAAGTGTAGGACAATGGACCGGATCTGGACCCTGCTGAAGTGGGTCAGGAGGCTGTTGAGGATATGTTCTATCGGGATGTTAGAGAGCACCTCCTGCACCAGGGCCTGCCGATTCAATTCTGCCCATTCCGGGTCTGACTCGTCGTCACTGTCCTTGGACTCAGTCTCAGTCTCGGTCTCAGACTCAGAATCAGAGAACGAGTCCCTTTGGTTTGCCCTCAGGGCAAGAAGCATCAGTGGCCTCATGTATCTGCCTTTCACGGCTCTCTGGTTTGGATTTCTACGGGACAGAGCTCGGGGGTCATCGTCATCAGGCAGCTCCATCACATCAAAATGGAAGTGAGAGAAGAAGAAGAGCCAATGCCCGGGGAGAAGTACGGTGAGCCTGTCATTATTCAGAGAGGCTAGATCCTCTGTGTTGAGAAGGATCATGATGGGCTCCTCGGTGTTCTCCAGGTAGCGACACCACACTATCAAGGAAGCCCGGATTGGAAGGATCCTCATCTCCACTTGAGGGTACTCCACCTCGATTGGGGAAAGATGTCGTGAGTAGAAAGCGCAGGTAGCTTTTTTGCCGGTTTCTTCATCAGTTTGGATCAGGGAGGCGTATAGGAATGACCCAGTGATGCCTGTTTCCAAGTAGAATGGGTTCTGATGCTTGGGGTGGTACAGAATGGGCGCCTTTCGGAAAGCCCTCTTTAGGCAGTCTAAGGCTTCCTGATGCTCTTCTCCCCAGCAGTAGGTCTCTGTGCTCAGCAGCAGCCTCACCAGGGGCTCTGCAATGATGGCAAAGTGCTCCACGAAATGGCGGTAGGGATAGAAGAGTTCGATAACGGTTTGCAGGCCCTTCCTGTTGCTGGGGGCAGTACACCCCATGATGAGGTTCATGATGGTCTTGTTCAGTTTCACCCCTTTGGGGGATAGGGCGAAACCCATGATTTCTGCGGTCTGGCGATGGAACTGGCTTTTGTCCAGGGAGCAGTGGATATTGTGACCGCGAAGGCGGAGCAGGACTTGGCGGACATGATCAAAGTGTTCCTCCTGGCTCATAGAGTAGATCAGGAGCTCTCGGCCATGGGCAATCACATAGAAGCCTAGGATGTCTTTTAGAATAAAGTGAATCTCATTATCACAGTCATCAGCGTATGAGTCTATTGTGAAGGGCCGGTAGCATCTCATCTGGTAAGGGCTCAAACCAAATGTTGCTCTCCATGTGTCTTCTGTGTGTGTGAGGCTGTAGTCCACCCTGGGTTCCTTAGCAATGTCTCGCAGCTCCAGTTTTGTGAACCATGTAGCTCCATGTAACTGCTCAAACAGTTCTGGCATCATCTGTATGTAGTCCTGTCTGTCATTCAGCATGTCATATAGTATCCAGTATTGCTCTTGCTGCCTGGCTTTTTCTTGCATCTTGGCACTCACAGATTGACAAGGCCTCTTGGAAGAACTCTCATAAAAGACGTCGTTGTGATCACTGTCTCCAGCCTGCTGAAGCTCAGAGGGCTCTGATTCAGAAAGATCATCGGATCCGTCTGAGCTTGGCTGGTCGGAAGTCTCATCATCTGCTTCCTTCGGGTTAAACACGTCGGCCAGGTCTGAATACAATTGCGGCAATCCGGGTAGCATGGCCATGCTAACTTTCTCCAGTGCGATGCATGGTGGGGGTGGGTGGAAGCAATTCTTCAGGCAGTAGGGCGAGTGGAAGGTACAACGGCCTTTGATCCAGTCAACTTCAGGTGCATGGGTACGGAGCCACTTGATGCCAAGGACCACAGAGAAGTGGGGTGAAGGTACGATGTCAAATTCGATGTACTCACAATGATTCTGCTGGATACACATCAGGGGTTCAGTGTACAGCCAGATGGGTTCATTGCCGATCAGGGAGCCATCCACGGTTTGGACTGCCTGTGGATAGGGTCTCTCATAGAGCTCCACGTAGTGTTCTTGGGCAAACTTCTCATCCATGTAGTTCCCTTCTGCTCCTGAGTCCACCAGGGCCTGCACTGCGACACTGTGGTAGGGGTTCACTCTCACCATGAGCAGCAGGAAGAGGTGGGCACGATTGATGTTTGGATGGAACGCATTGGGCAGCCAGCTGCTCACACTCCACTTCTCTGGGGCAGGTGGGTCAAGCCAGATCATGTTCCTTGGGCGGGCCTCAGGGGGCAGCCTGAGTATTGCCCTTCTCTCTGCCAGCTTATCTTCAATTTGCAGGACGAGCACCATCAGGTTCTCCAGGGATTCCGGCTGGGGGATTCGAAACAGATAATGCCTGATGTCTTCATTGAGCCCCTGGCACAGGTGGGCCTGCAGGACTTCATCTGGCCAGCCCAAGGTGGGTATTAGACTCTGGAATTCATTGATGTATTCGGCAACACCGCGGTTCCCCTGCCTGATATTGAACATGGCGTCTTCTGCCACGCGCAGCGTCTGCCTGTACTCAAACATTTCTGACATAGCCTCAATGAAGCCTGAGTAGTTGTTCAGTAGGGGGCTGTTCTGCTCTACCAGGCTGTTGGCCCATTCTAAGGCTAGGTCAGACAGATGACACATGACAAATTTCACCCGTAGCTGGTCATTGTGCAACATCGATGGGTAGTTCTGTAGGGTCATCTGACAGAGCACAATGAACTCATGGTATTCTCTGCGATCTCCAGAGAAGTGCCTGAGTTTGGGAAGCCGGCCTTCTTCGATGGCTTGCATCAAGATCCTCTCTGCTACTCTCTGTTGGTGTTCAATGTCTTGCATTCGGAGGAACACCGAGATGATGGACTCCATTGTGGCCATGACTTGTTCCGGAGAGCTCCCGGGCTGACCCTCCTCTTCAAGGTTCTCCTCATCTTCTTCATCTTCCAGGTCAGTCTCATCTCCTTGCTCTGTCTGGGTCTCAGATGAGTTGACAAACACTGAATCTATGCCATCAGATGAGATAGCAATCTCACTGAGTGGATCCTCACCTTCCTCGTGTGAACTATCACATGACTCCTCCATGTCTTGGAGTAGGTCACTGGGTGGATCCTCTCGTTCCTCACTTGGGCCACTGGATGGTTCCTCCACGTCTTCGAGTGAATCAGTGGGCATCTCCTCTCGTTCCTCACTTGGGCCACTGGATGGTTCCTCCATGTTTTCGAGTGTATCAGTGGACAGCTCCTCTTGTTCCTCACATGGGTCACTGGATGGTTTCTCCATGTTTTTGAGTGTATCAGTGGGCAGCTCCTCTTGTTCCTCACATGGGTCACTGGATGGTTTCTCCATGTTTTTGAGTGTATCAGTGGGCAGCTCCTCTTGTTCCTCACATGGGTCACTGGATGGTTCTTCCATGTTTTTGAGTGTATCAGTGGGCAGCTTCTCTCGTTCCTCACTTGGGCCACTGGATGGTTCCTCCATGTTTTCGAGTGTATCAGTGGGCAGCTTCTCTCGTTCCTCACATGGGCCACTGGATGACTCCTCCAACTCTTGGAGTAGATCAGTGGGCAGCTCATCTCGTTCCTCACGTGGGCCACTGGTTGCCTCCATGTCTTGGAGAAGATCAGTGGGCAGCTTCTCTCGTTCCTCATACAGGCCACTGAATGGCTCCTCCAAGTTTTGGTATAGATCAATGGGCAGCTCTTGCATTTCCTGGGTCGAGCCACTGGGTGGTTCTTTTCCTTCCTGGGCTGGGCCACTGTCTGAGCCCGCCTCTGCCTGCGCCTGTGCCCCGCTGCTGCCTGGTGTCTCCTCAACGGTGTTGGATGAGCCCTCGGAGGACTCCATTTGTTTTGATGATGGATTATTAAGCTCCATCATCGTCTCAAATGAGTCTTCAGAGGGTTCTATCATGTCGTCGGTTGGAAAGGACTCTGCTCTGAAGACAGGTAAGGTTGTAATGTGTGTGGTCAGAGACCGCGACCGTGGAGATCAGAACCTAGGGGGAGAAGGGATAAAAGCAAGAGGAAAAGCAGCAATTTAGAGTCTCAAGACGTCAGGGTCAGATTCTCAAGGACAAACCAGATGCCCAAGTAATTAGAATCAGAGAGAAACCAGAGAAATTCTCCCTGCATTCAATATAGTCTCCTCCTCTGGTCACTTGAGGCACCTCAAGGGGAGAGGCTCAACCCCTGACCTGCCTCCCAGGCGGAGTCAGACTGCCCCGCCTGCCTACTTCCTCCACTGGAATGAGAAATTCACAGTCCATAAATTTTGTGGAGCAACTGGCCCAGAGCATCCTCCGTGGCAAGCAGGCACCTGGCAGGGCACACTTCTGGCCCATTTTGCCCTGGCACCCATGCCTGGTCAGTTTCCCTTCCCATCTCTAGTCACCCGAAAGTCATAAGGTCACATCTCAATGCCACTCTAAGCCACTGCTGGCAGGCTTGGTGGTCTGGAGCCATCCCAGCACGCTCAGTTGGAGGCGGGATTCCACAGTGAGATGCTTGCTGTCTCCCAAACTCTGGGGAAAGAGGAGAAATCGGGCACTTGGCCACTGCCCTGCTAGTTGGGTCAGCAGCCAAAAATAGCTCTTATTTCCTCCTCCAGGCTCCAAGTCGAAATAAGTGGGGGAGAGCATGACTTTTGGTTTTAATTTTCTCCCCATAAACGTTTATAAAATGCCTACTGTGTGCTGAAAGCTTACACTTTTGTTGCTTTATCCTTGATCATACTTTGGGGGGTGGGATGGGGTAGATTTCATTTCTCAATTTGATCTCTATCCAAAGCCACGGTCTCTCCAGTGCTGAGATGGAGGTTTCCAAACACCCTTCCCAGCTTTTCAAAAATCTACCCTCCAGGATTGCCCTGGTCTGCAGGGCTCATGGAGCTTCAAACATCTGGCCTCAATTCTGATCATGCAAACATTTCTGCCTGCCTCTTGGATCCTATCTTTCCAAGTTTCCCCTCCGCTCAGGCAGGGGCAGGCTTCTCATTCTTGAAAGCACCCCTTCTCTCTGTCACCGTTGATTTCCTCCAGTACAGGGGTGTATCTAGCAGAGTTACAACGCTGGGGGAGAGGAGGGCCCGAGACCTTTGAAATCTGATTGTCCTGGAATTTTTGAAAATCTGGCCATGGGAGGATTTAGTGCACGGAAATTGAATTTAAAGGAATGTATTGGTTTACAAAACAAATTAGGCTATTGAATATCCCAGCCATAGGACTATTGTCTTTATAAATTCAACACCTTCTGTTACTTCTCAATTTTCTTTTAGGGTTACTAGGCTGACCTGTCAACACACACACACACACACATACACATACATAAACTCAAACAAACAACAACAACAATAAAAACCAAAAACCAAAACCAAAAACCCCAAAATAAAATAAACAAAAATCTCCATGCTGTCCTTTATGTAAAACCATCATTGGCTCAAATCCATACCTTCCAGCAGGATAAAACATTTGGGTCTGCAGTTTCTCAGAATTAGACATACCTTGTTAGCATGACACTTAAATTTGATCATGCAATTCCTCTGATTAAAGCCTCTCACTGTTTATTTACTGTCTGCAATATTAAATCCAAACCTTTTGTATAAACACATCTGACATGTAAACTTAACCAAAAATCATTCTCTGGCTAAAATTGAAAGGCCATAGAGTAATGCACAAGTTGGACTTGTCATTCCTGGAGGTAGAGATCAGAGTTTCTAAACCTGGTGTACAAATTAGGTAAAACAGCCATCTCAGAAATACGCACAGCATATTGCATAAATCAACTCATTTCCTCTTCATAAAAGTCCTCTACGGCATGCACTATTATTGAAATGTAAAATTTAACTAATTCATCTGTCCGACATAAAAATCTCAGCAGGTCTCCCACTTAACCTCATGGTTTACAATTTAAATTTGCAGCAGTCTGATTAACAAATTAGAATATTCACCTTCTTAAATAAAAAGTTTACACATAGAGATTAACAAATTCAATCATGTAAATGATTGACTCTTTCTGCTTTCTTTCAACCAGCCTTCAAACAAAAATCTCACTTTCTAAGTATCTTAATAAGCCTGGGTATCAGAATTTAAACTTTTAACAGAATAAACAATATTTATCTCATGGTTTCCTATTTAACATACACATTTCTTCTCTATACTATGAAGTTCCAATTGCTTAGCATGAAATTAATTTTTAACCATGTGGTTTAATTGGTAGCTAATCAATACAAAATTCAGTTTCATAGCTCACCCCAGAAACACTTGACTGCCTTCACACCAAAGATATTACATAATAACAAAAGCTCATACTTCTTGTAACATGCATGCACTCACTTGTGTAACTTCTGCTTACAGCCTCACAAAGTCTCTGCCTTACCTATGAGATCAAGCCTTAAAGTGATCATAAAGTCATACATTTCTCAGCAGACCGAGCCTATTCAATTCACAAAGTTCATGATGTCATTCTCCTAAAATCTCATCAGGGCGGGAGTCCAAATTCCTCAGCCTGGCATGACAGTGTACTCCTTGCATTCCTCAGAACCGTGTCCAAACCTGACATGCTATGTAAATGTCATCTAACTTCTCAGCCCATGATGTAAGTTACCCAGCTTCTCAGCACAGAAGCTTCACTGGTACCCTTGTGCTGAGGGGCAGTGGACATTCATTCACCCATGCATTGAACTCCTCATCAAATCTACACACTTTAGCATACAGCATGCTTTAAATCATCAAATTCCTTGGGAGACAAAAACTCTTGACCATTTCACTCCTTAAAACCCTTTCTTGGCCAAACTCTAAGCATCCCTCTCCCCACACAAAAGGATTAAAAATGATATCTCACCCCTCACTCAGGATACAACAGTGCCTTCGATGTGGACATGAGTCACATCTCTAACCATGTTGTAATATCCACTTTCTTCTCTGCTGAATTCATAAACCATAAGGAGTCACTCCCAGATTTAAAACATTGCAAAGTTTCTTTGTAGCATAAATCCCCAAATTCTTAACAGACAGTGCAGTATCTTATTGTGTCACTTACCTCCGGGCTGGACAAAACAAAACAAAAAACAACCAACAAATCTTCCCTATCACACTTTTAAGCCGTTTATTGGCTTAAATTCAAACTTATTAGAGTGATATTATAATCTGGTGTGTCATCCCTTAGAATAAAATTCACACGTCTTAGCACAGTTCATTAAATCTGAGTTTGTAACTCCACCTTAAAAACCCTGCAATGTCTCTTAATTGTGCACGACATAAAAAGTCCAGATTCTTGGCATACAGCGAGAATTTGATTTCATAATCGTGCTATGTTGTATCTATCAAACAGAAAAAAACTCACCATGTCACTCCGTTAGAATTGGATAAATCAAAATTTTAAGCATGTGCAAAAATTTCATCACGTCAGAGTCTCTAAATAAATTCCAAATTTCTCTGCACAGTCCCCATCTCGGTCATGTAACTCCTCTAATTAAAACCTTTCCTCAGTGTCAACATTAATCATATCTTCTTGGCATGCCCTGAGAGTCAAACTTTGGCATTCCCTCAACACAGAGTCAGAATGTTTGGGCATGATCCTTAAATGTGTGCCTGTTAACTTTCCTATTTACGATTTTTCAGTGTTTCGTGTTGCTTGTAATAATAAAGTCCAAAGCTGTTAGCCATAAAATATGTTTTATCATGCTTTCTACAAGCTTATCTCCCACAAGCAAACAATCTCACCATTAAGTTTTTTAAAGCCTTTTGGCAGAAGCCCAAAGCCCTTAGTGTGATAGAAAATTTTCATACCGTCACCCCTCAAAATAAAGTGCATATTTCTACCTCAGAAACCCAATAATCAATTAATAAAGCTCCCACTTAAGATCTTTTCACACATTTCCAGCAATGCTAAATAGTTCCACTGTCTTTGAGTGACACTCATTTAATCATGGCATCCTTAGCTTCCAACCTTAAAATTTCATGTCCACGACATAAAATCCAAGTGCCCCAGTGCTGAATGGGCCTGGAGCGAGTTTATCTCTTGTTGAAAACATATAGATTGCTCTGTATGCTTGGGAATCTAGAGCTTAAATTGTTTTGCATGAAGTAAAAACTTTTAACCATCTATAGCTTCCTTCCTTGTTTCTCCTTAGGCATTTCTCTAGAAAGACTGAGTCTCATGTCCCCCATCCTAAACTCATCTTGACTTCGTTGTTTCCCAGAGCTTTGTATTTTTTAAAATCTTCAGTCCGTTAGTTTACCCAGCAGTTTGTTTCCATTCTTTTCTGCCCTAGGCATCCTGTTTGGACCCCACAGAACTGGAGACGGGTACCACCGTGCAGCCCCACAGCAGCCAGGGCGTGAACACTGCACCCTGAACAATAAGGCCCTGCTGGAGGTGAGTGAGAGCTCCTTGTAGCAAGAGGAAGGACCATCTACACCAGGTGGCCCAGCTCAGGGATCTGCCTCTCCGGGAGGGCTTGGGGCCTGACAAATGCCCTCTTATTCTCTGATGTCTTTGGACAATCACCTAGGCTTCCTCTGGCTCTTGCTCTCCCCTGGCCCACCCTGCATGCCTCTAGGCTATGTAGAAGGAACATTCTCTGTCCTTCAGATTCATCTCAAGGTCTGTTCTCAAACCTTCCATTTAGAAATTCCTATTAAAATCTAGATCAAGCTACCCTTTGGGTCTTTGTTGTGACCCTCTACCCCACAACACTCAAGACAGACACCCCAGTCTCACCACTGTTAGTGTCCCAAGATTCGGTCAGGTCAGCTCCTTGCTTGCCTCTGAGCAAGTGGCCCATGGGGTCAGGCCTGCCACGGAGCATCTATGAAGGGTTGAGTGAAGGGGGGGGGGGTGGGGGGGGCAAATCCCTCAGCGAATACCTTTCCCTGTACAGTAAAGGAAATCTGATTTTAAAAATAGAGCTTGGAAGAGGAGATGAGAAGATATTTAGGAGCAGAGTTGAGGGTTGAGCATGGACTGGGGGGCAGGGGTGGAGGAATTAGGGGAAAGGTGAAGACAGGGGAGGAGGGTGGGAGCCCCCCGCAGGAGTTTAGGAGGCCAGTGAAGTCAGGCAGTGGAGAGGAGGGCAGCCATGGCTCTCAAAGACCTGTTCTATTATAACTGGTGTCTTGACTGTGGGATGAGCATCAAGTGAAGACCTCTGTTACTTTGGATTTGTATGAGACACTCAGAGGCTCTCAAGTGTGAGGGACACAGCCATTAAGTCTTAAAGGATAAGTTCCCTTAGAATTACTATCTTTCTGTCTTTCCTTCTGGTGCCATGGGTGGGAATGGAGTACCAGAATGGACATGTAAGGACAGTGAAGAATACAAATTATTGTATTCATTTATTTTATTAGACATGTCACAGTCAAGATGTGTCCTTGGCAGGCAGAACCTTAGGATCCTTGCTGGTTTCTCTGGTGGAAAAGATTATATTGGCCCCTCTTCTTATTCAAGTTTCTGGGAGGGAGTAGGACTTCCCAAAACCCTCAGCAGGACTGCCCAAAGCCCCACAAGGAGCTCGGGTGAGATGTCATGGTCTCAGCGGCCTTAGAATCTGCAGGGAGAAGGCTGGGCCCGGCCCATATCTAGGTCTCTACTAGTCATTTCACCCTGGCTTGAACATCTGCGATAGGGAGACCCTTCACCTCACTGCTCAGGAGAACAAGCAAACTCCCCCCCCTCCTGATGGTTTGGATAGAAATCCTTGATCAGCGGGCCTTCATCTCCATGATGGGGCAACTAAGTTTTTTGAAGGGGGAATCCCATGACTCTGGGTAGAGAGTGAATCAAAGTAGATGGAGGACTCTTTCAATCTTGGGTTTCCTACCAGGGTTGGAAGCCTCTAGCAGAGGACCCTCAGCCTGTCGCTTGCCTATCCATCCAGAGGAAGAGTGGTGCCCTTGACCCAGCCGCATTGTGTCCTGGCCCATGTCTGTTTAACTGGCAGCTGGGGGGCAGCTGGATCACTCTCCCAGAATAACCGTGGAGGGGGAGAATATGCCACTCTGGGAGGGGCTGTGGGGTTGTGCAGGAGCACACCCTTCCTCTAGGGGCTGCTCCAATTGCAGAGCCAATCAGCTGCTCCTCTGCCTAAACTTTCCTTTCAAGGCGCGTGGGCAGAGATGAAGCCTGGATAGGGATGGATTCTGCGCAGCTGCTAGCCCGGCTGGGCCTTGACTTTCCATGTGACCTTCTTTTCCTGACCCTCAGTTTCCCCTTGGCTTTCTAACTTTCTTATGGGGTTTCTGAGTGGTGCCTGGTGGCTACCCAGGCTGTGGAGGCAAAGGTAGGCCCTGAGTGAGTAGATGGAGATCAGGGACTCCTACCCTTCCTCAGTTCTAATAGCGGCATCTAGAAATTACAGTCCTAGCTTTGTTTAAATAGAGTTCTCTCAATCTACACAATGATTGAAAGCACAGACTGGCTTCTTCTGGCATCTGCCTTGACTTTACAGCTCCTGTCTGACTCTGGCAAGCTCCATTACCATGCCTGGTGCTACGAAGGCTACATGGATACACCTTGAGGGCTGCAGGTGTAGGCGTGGGAGTATGGTGAATCTTGGAGGTGGTGACTTCAAGGCAGGAAGACTTCATCCTAAGGGTTGTGAGAGGTAGGGCTAGGGCCAGGGAGAGAAGGTGGTTAGCCCTACAACCCGCTCTTTGCCCATTTAGAAAGGGAAGGAGGTGTTTCCTTTGTAAACTGTGAAGAACTGTGCATGAGTCTGGGCCTGTTCTTGTTACTAGGGTTTATCTGATTATTGCTTTTTGAACACCCACTCTAATTGCAGGGGTCGAGATTTAGACCAGCATTGTACATAAGGTGCCAACTTTAATTTTCCAATTAGCCTCATGACGGGAACAAGCTCTGCACTGAAAAGAATACACTAGACTCAAAAGGTGGACTTTCTGTCCAGGACCCTTGATTATCAGTGGCAAGAACACAGACCCAATCCATTGACAACCACTCTTACCCGCTGCAAAGAGTGGTTGATAACCATTCTATAAGGGACAGGGTATGGCCATGCAGAAGACTTAGGGTGGTCCAGCCACACCTGGAACCCCCATGCCTCAGATAGGGCTAACTACAATTTTCCAATCATAGTGAAATCTGCCTAGTACTAAGCTCTATCTTAGTTTTAATGCCATCATTGGAGGGGTGGCATACCACTTTGCAGAATTAAACTGACTTTTAGAGGGCTTGGTGCTGACTTCCAGTGTCCGGGAAGGCAGAGGCAGAGACAGGGGCAGGGCTCTGAGCCAGGTTTCTCCCCCTCCCCTGGTAGATGGCACAGGCAGAAACAGGTGCCCAAAGAGGGATCATGCAGTTGCCATCTGGGGATGTGGAGGGCCTCGTGGCCAAAGACTGCCTTCATTCCATGCTGTTGATGCAGTCAGTCTCGTGGTCTGACAGGCAGCTAGACACAGAAGTGGGGGCCTTAGTGTCTGCCTCCATCTCCCCAAAAGGCTTGTGCTGTCATTCCCAATTCATTTTGTCCTATTTGGTGTCAGCAGAGGGACAGGATGGGATAAGACAGCTGGCTGAGACTCTACTAATTATAGCTTCTCAAGTATTTGAACAGAGGTATTGAGTACCCCAGAACATGTCCAAACTAACCCCTTAACCTTTAGTCCCTAGCATGGCCTTACCCTATCCACTGACCAGGTGCCCCTTCTCCACTGGGCAGAGGCCAGCATGGGACCCCTACCCCTGCTTACCTTGGCCGCAAGTGTCCAAGTGGATCTCCTGTGGTCCTGCTGGACTCAACCCTCTCTTCTTTCTGGAAGCTGTCGGATGAATGTATTTTATTAGTTATGAAGGTACCATCCAGTGGCAACTCCCCAGTCCCTTCGCCTAGTCCCCAGAACAGGATTCCTGCTTTGAGACATCTTTTCTGTCCTATGTATTTCCCATGTGTCAGGCATGTCTGGTGAGTGTTCACACACTTGAATTCTTTCACTCCTTAGTATAATCTACATAGGCATTACTTTAGCAAATTTCCACCTTGGAAAGGAAGAATGTGAGGCTTGGGGTCTTATTGCTTGCTAATTTGTGTGGGTCCAACAGCCCTATTGAAGGCCAAGCAAAGCCTAGTTAATGGAATGCCTCAGTCAGAGCCCCAGCTTTCCCATGCCCATGCTGGTACTTGTGTGCCCAGCTTTTTGCCTTGAGATGGGCTCCTGAACTTGGTGAGCCATCTCTTCACAGAGGACCCCTATTTAGTTCTTCAGCAAATATATAAAGATTTGATGTGAGTTTGGCACCCAATTTCCTCTCCTAATGACCTTTTTCTTCCAGGGGCACCTGTTGGAATAGTTCCAGGATGGTCCCCTCTTCCTTATGCTGAATCCAGTCCACAGTGGACTCTTTAATCATGGTAGTGATCAGCAATTCTCATCTGCTTCAGACACACAGTAGGTCTACTGGTGGTAATTAGGCTTGTGTCAGAGGCCTAGGGAGGCAGGGGACTCCTGACTCTCATATTTAGGGATTTCTCTTCCTCTTCTAGGTAGCCTAGCGACAAGATGGCTGCTTTCTCCCAGGAAGGGAGCAGATGCCTGGCCAGGATCAGAAAAAAAGGTCTGTGAAATGGTCTCTTTTCCTTCTAACATGTTAAATTAGAGAATTTGCAAATTTGTGGATTTTCCAGAATGGAACTAACTGAAGCCCTTCATTTTGCAGCTGGGGCTCCCTGCCCCCTTAAGGGGCAGGGAGCCAGTGATTCCTGGGGGAGCCCTGGTCCGTCTCAGGGTGGCCTGTCCTATGTGACCTCGGGGAGCCAGCAGCCCAGACTCAGTGCCCTGCCAGGTATGTATGCAATTCTTCCTTTTGCTTTCTGTTGTGTTTTTGAAGGAAGGGGCTTCTAGAGGAGTGGAGGTCACACAGCCCTAACAAGCTGATGTCCCTGTGTCTCTGTGTGTCACCAAGGGAGGCTTTACTACCTGTCACCTGATGTGAGGATGACCACTATGACTTGATGGCGGAGAGAGGCTCATATAGGGTCTGAGAGGACAATCTGCCCTTCACGGCAGGTGGGTGACCCTGGAACCCTGCCTGTAGCTAGTTCCCCCTTCTGTAATATCATGGCAGCTGTGCCCACGTCTTGATAGCTGCAATAGAACAAGATAGAAATGGCTGACTGGTGAGGAGCCCCTGTGGCATGCAAAGGTGACTTTTCAGGAGGGTCTTCCTCCTGTGGACCCATCTGAAAGCCCATCTCAGCATTTTGGAGTTAAGAGGAAAACAGATGAGAGGCTCAAACAGGAAGGCAGCATTAGGCTGCCCCAGGGTGTTCCCTGGGTTTCTACAGGCTTCTTCAGGCTATCTGTGTCCACGTGGAAGTAACCCTGGGCTGCAGGCCAAGTGTAGGGAATTTCATCTGGATTCTGTTTTTTATTTGTCATAAAAATATTTTGCATTTGTGAGATGCAAAATGAAACACGCAGATCCTTGCCTGTTAGCTTAAGGTATTCCCAGGTACTGTACCCACTCCACAAAGCCTATGGATAAAACAGCAGAACCTCAAGTGTGACAGAGACAATTAAGGGCTGGCCGTGAAGGCAAAAGGCTAGTTAACTTGCCTCAGATTTTTTTTTTCTGCCTAAAATCATGGTGGGAAACTGGTTTGCATTTCCTTAGAGGAGGCTGTTACCCAGTAAATGAAAACGTGGCTTTGCAAGGACAAAGGTGGACGAGGTTTCAGACTGCTAAGTTTAGAAAGGGTTAATTTTTTTTGTTGTTGTTCTGGGGGTCTCTGAGCCTCAGGCATTTCTCTGAAGATGTGGGTATAATCATATTATCTTTGTCACAGACTCAACCCTAAGCCTGTTCTGAGAATCTGACAGCCTGTGACAGCTGCAGGGGCCTCACTAGCTGGGTCTGAAGCTTAGCCTGCAAGCAGGACTCGGGGTACCTTGGAAAGAAAGGGACTTCTGAGGAGGAGTTCAGGGTGCCGGGGTACCTTGGAAAGAAAGGGACTTCTGAGGAGGAGTTCAGGGTGCCATGCACCACCTGAATGGGTTAGTAATGCTGCTGCAGGACTGTGTGGGTTAGACGCCGGAGGTACACAGTACGTGCTGCTTGAGAGTCAAACTGTCCAGGCACGCAGCAAAGCCCCGGCTCTTTGCCAGCAAGCAGGCTCCACTGTTGACACACTCGGGCTGCTGTGTCTGCATTTCTGCAGAGGCCCATGTCCCCTCTGCCAACATCTATCTCAAGTCACATTCCCTTGGACTTCTCATTCCATACAGCTAATCCCCTAGAACACGGGCCAGCGCATTAGCTTTCTGGGCCTCTTAAGGACCGAAAAGGAAAATGTTACCCCCATGGGTACATTGCAAACACTGAGGGCGGGAGACCACGGTGGTGAAATCATCGCCTGAGGCTCACACCTGCCGGCTACATGTCACTGACAAAGCTACACAAGGCTAGGGCTTCAGTCTTGGAGGACATAAAATAAAAATTTAAAAAATAAAGAAAAAAAGAAAGATAAACCTTGAGTCCCTGTGTGTACAGAACAAGCTTTGCACACCTATAACTGACTTGTAATTTGTCAGCTAATATGCTCGTTGCATTTGTTTTTTGTTTTTAAAAGCCAAAAAGAAAAGAAATCTCTAAACAAATAAATAAATAAATAAATAAATAAAACATACAGAAAAACTACCACACAAAATATTTTTTGTAGTTATACAGGAAACGTACTGCTAATTAATATGGTGGTGGTAGCACTTAGCCCCTCCCTCCCTCCCCTCCTCAAATTAGGGGCTGTGATTCTTCTGGGCTCCTGCATTTTCCTGGCCAATTGCATATGTCTCATAAGCACACCACCAGAGTATATGACTTTGTTTCTTTTGTATGGGGGCTATTTCAGAGCTAGTGTTTTTCCTTTTGCATTTTGTAGCAGCTTGTTTTTCTTCTCTCCAGAATGTACTTGGCAATAATAAAGATCCATAGCCTTCCTTATGACACCCAACACCTCGGATTCCCAAACGGCGTACACACTGGAGTTGATTTAACCATCTCACCGCCACCCTGAAATCTGGGGTCCTTTATATTAACAGGTGTAATTAATTATTGAGTTATTTGGATTTGGGGAGTGAGCTCACGAGTATTTATGACATAAAAGGTGATATGCCTTCGTCCAATGAAAGGACAGTGTCTATGAACAAAGGATCATGATTAATCTGGTTTTTTATGAAATACAGAGGTCCATTAAAAGACAATAGATCTGGCTGTTTTTCTCTTTTTAAGAGCTGCTTAATATTTTGGCATATGTATGTCACACCGTGTCTTTATTATTGAAAATCCCAGGTGTACTTTTCTCATTGAGAGAATGTGTGCAGATAGGAGCCTGGTCGAAACCCTACTCATCAAGGCAAGTCATGGGTTCCTGGTGCTCATTGTATTATTTAAAAAATAAAACCACAAATACATAAATAAAGGTGGTATCTACACAGATCAGCGAGAAGGGCATGCCACACACCCACATTTTAATTAATGTGATTCAGTTCCACCGATGGCCGATTAAAAAGACCTAAGCTGTTTTTATTTTATGCCATTGCTGATAGCACCACAGAGAACATTCTGGTAGCTAAGCTTGTGAACACATCCCTGACTGTGTTTACCCCAGCTCCTTAATGGGAGGAAGTGGGGGGATAGCTGAGTAAATGGTTTGCACAGATTTATTTTCATCGAGCGATTTTTCTGAAATAACATTTTGACCTTGTTACCATCTCACCTTCCAATCCAGTCCTCTAGCTGACTTACCACACCTTCCGGGATGTCATCCAAGGGGAAAGGGAGAAAGAAAAGGAAAAAGCCTGATACTCAACCTCATGCTCTATCATCCTATGTCCTCACTGGACAGATTGTGCTTAGGGTTATGAACAACCTTGACATACCACCCCCCAATACTAAACCCCTAGTAAGATATGTGCCCCACCTATGTCCAAAATTCCTCAGACTGTGGTCACTGGAACTGTGGTGCCTTGCCCATAAGATTCCCTATTCTAAGGTTTTTTCCTTCCCCTGTAATTAACTGAAGGGATCAGATATTAATCATCCGTTCTTTTATCCCCTCCAGAAACCCCATCTGTGTTTCCAGAGACTGACTTCTAAGACCCCTCCTGGTCAGAGAGCTGTGTCACATGCTGTGTGGTGCTGGTGAGTCTGCATATCGCTGCAATACTGAACACATATTGTTTCACATATGTGCGTGTGCATGTGCATACACACACACACACACACCACACACACACACACACACACACACACACCATACTCATGGGTTGAGAACCCCGTGATACATTTCACAGCCAAACTACAGCCTGGTAATACATCTGTCTTATAGTTTGCTCCTTGCCCTTTTGTCCCAGGATATAGGAGGAGGATAGAGCAGATGATAGCTGGAGCAATAGCCCTGGGGATCGAACATACAGGGCTGAGAGTGGACATGTCTGTCTTTGCATCAACCTTGCCTCTATGGACAAAGGGCTTGGTCCGTGTGTGTAGGGCGAAGATGGGTTGGTGACCCTTCTTTCCTGGCATGGGAGTAGGCTCAGGAATTAATTGCAAGTAGCCATCCCTAGCTCTAATCCAGGCACAGAGCAGACTCAAGCTGTGTGTCCTTAGCTAGCTTGCAAGCATCTCTGTGCTTTGGTTCTTTCCTTTCTTTTTTACATCCACAATCTCTTTCACACAGGCCCATTGAGATGTCAGTGAGAAAATAATTCAAATAAATCATCTGGTGCAGTAACACATGCAGGATATCCAGTAAAACCCCGAGCTTTCCCAGCCCAGCCCAGCCCAGCCCAGCCAGACCCCCCAACCCCCCACACAGCATCCCCCACCAGGCTGTGCCTTCCCTCTGGAGGCAGCTGCCGGCTTTTCAGAGAACAAGACTAACAAAAGCAAACAAAAAGCCCCTAGAATGCATAAAGCCTCCTGCTGCCCCTGCCCAAGCTCCTGTGCCCTTGCAGATCCTCCCAAGGGACCCCTGTGCATTTCTTCAACACCTGGGGCCAGCCCAGCTGCCCTACTGTTTTAATTGGGGTCTCCTGTAGTTTGCTGGACATTATAGCTTATTTTCACATAAATAAATATAAGAAGTCAGATTGCTCACAGGCAGCATTTAGAGTCTTCCATTTACTGCCTTTGGCAAGGATGACTCCTGATGAACAGTGGTAGGGGGTCTCCAGATGACCCCCACAAAGCATAGCTTCCTGGTGTCACAAAGAAGCCCAGCCCCTCTCTCACTGAGCCTCCTGTGTGCTGGCCATTTGGGGAAGCGCGACTTGCCTGTCACCCCTTTCACAGAAGGGACCCTCCTCCTCGGTTGCCTGCACAAAGGTGCCTCTCTCTTCAATGTCTGGTTTCTTCACTGGCCAGGCAGACGTCTCCTCTGTCTGTGACTCTGCTTTACAGAGAAAACCATTTCTCAACTTCCTCAAGCCTGTGTTTCATCCCTGTGCCTTGAGCAACAGGAGTTATCAGTGGATGCCGGGCAGAGTGTCCCCTCCCCACCCAGCAGGGGCTAAAGGGCTTATTGCCTTCTGACCCCAGCTTCTGGGTTGGACTTTGGGTGATTTCATTCCCAGTGAATCACTTCTGAGCCATGTCAGGGTCTTCAGTCACTTCTAACCAGAAATGTTTATTCACAAACCTGTGTGCATGTGCTTGTGAATGTGTGCATGCGTGCTTGTGTGTGTGTGTGTGTGTGTGTGTGTGTGTGTGTGTGTGTGCATGTGTGCTCCCTTCCTCATCCACATTCCACAGGGAACTCTTCCCACATAATACTGCAAAGGCAGTGACATATGTGAATGTCACAAATGTCAAATGTCCACATCTAGATTCCAAACAAAACCAGCAACATAACAGTACCACCACTGAAACACCCCAACATCGGGCCTCTGTGAGTGCAAACCCAAGCCTTGCAGCCTTAACCCAGAAGTGGCTAGGCAGCCTGGTTCTCACCTGCAACACGATGCTGCCCCCACTTGGCGGGTCAGAGCAGCCGAGTGGCCTTGAGGCCCCCAGATCAGGTTTTTGGGAGCTGGACACTGTTAGCAGAAACAAGAGGGGCTTTACTCAAACAATTCTGTCATTTTCAAATTCTTTTTCTCTGCTCCTTTTGAATATTTTTTCTCCATGGAGATGTGATCTGCTCAAGGTTTAGCCCGGTCACCCTGACTGTTCCACAGACAAGAAACCCCAGCCAGCCTCTCAGCTATTCCATAAACGTACACACTCACACATAACATGCTTATGTGGAGTACATACACTAGGAACAACGTCAGAAGAATGCTTACAAAAACTGCACAGCACAGGTGCTTCTGCCTGAGATGTCCCTCTGCTAAAAGCCCCAACCACCCGTAGCCCCCAGTGAACTCACATGAACAGGCCAGAAGAGCATCAGTGTGCAGGCTCCTTAGTCCCACCTCGGAGTACGGTGTTTCTACAAGCCCCCTAGACTTTTTAAGTCATGATGAAGCAGCTATCTGACTCTGTGGCTAGGGTTCAGCATCCATAAAAGTGGCCAGCTGTTCCTATAACCAGCCAGTACCTCATATAGGTGGAGTCCTCTTTATATGCCCTTCACACATGTTACCAGATTGTTGCCTAACAAATGACTCAGGCCAGCACTCCTGGACCTGAAATCAGGCAGAGAAGACCCTTGGCCACTCCAGGTGGCCCTCCCTTAACACGGAGTTAGCTGCAGGACAACCCTCACCATCCCCATGTCCCCGAGCACTCACCCCCAGCCTCAGCGCCTCTCCCTTAATGCCTCAGTTTGACTAAAATACTGTCAATGTGCCTTTGACATTTAACCCCTGGCAAGGTCATGGCAAAGGTCACAGCAAAGACCATGCATCCTTACCCTGACCCCAGCCAGCTCCTCTCCGGCCAGCCCCACTTGTTTGCTCCGGACTCAGCACTGTGGGAACTTTTCCAAAGTCTATCTCTTTGGGCTGCTAACCAGCTAAAGAACACTGCTGCAGCCTCCCCATCACGTACTGGCCTGCCTCTCTGCTCGAGTGCCTCCAGTAACAGGAAGCTTCCTCTCCCCAGCAGGCTGTTTGTAGGCTCTATCTTACTGAGATGTTCCTCTCAGCCCTCCCCTGTCTTCTGCATCAGCCTCTGTAGCGTCTCAGTAGCCTGCTTGTGCCTCAGCCCTCAGGTCTTTATAGGAGGCAAGCTCTCTATCTTCAGGGTCCTCCCTGTGCTGTGCTGAATAGCAAAACTCCCACCTACCACAAGAACAAATTCGGGGGTCTCTACACCTGTCTGGGGGTGCTTCTCCCTTGGCCCTCTGCATTTACGACAAAGGCTTTTGCCCTGTTGTTCTTCCAGGAGCCCAAGGGAGGGCTGGTGCTCTCCTCTTCCCGGGGTGGTGTGTGTGTGTGTGTGTGTAGGGGGAGCTGCTCTGTCTCTAGCTGTTAAGCAGCTCTGAGCCCTCTTGGTTTTTTTCCTCCCCACCCCTTCTCTTTTTTTTATGGCCCCTTTGCCAGTTGGTAGGGAGAAGCCGCTTAATACAAAGCACCCTGCTCTTTTTCTGTTGGAACGGTGGCTGACTGGCCAGCTCTGGTTGCCCTGCAGAAGTGGGAGCTGCAGAAGCAGCTGCAGCAGGGCTGAGGGGCTGTACAGTTAGGCTTGACTCCCATTCTGTAGCTGTGAGACCACACAATTCCCTTTAGTTTTCAGAGTCTAGGGGCTTTCCCTGTGAAATGGGAGATTAGAGATTTTCTTTCACTGGCTTGAAGTGAGGATTTAAGGAGATGAGAGTAGCTTAGTCTTCACCAGACACTCCATAAATGTTTGTGGTGTCAGCAGTGGGACCCAGGAGGAGGGCAATGTGTAGCAAGTGTCATAAGACCCCATGCTGCATACACACTGCAATATCTCCTGGCAGAGGCCCCTTTGCTGGCTTAATTGCCCAAATCAAGCCTGTCAGAGGCAGCCCTTAGTCTGGGGAACTAAGGGGAGATGTGGCAGGCAGCAGAAATGCCAGGCAGAGCCCATATCTGCATTTACTAGCATTTGCATGGTATATAACAGCATTTGGGGAAAGCAGACAGGCAGAGAGAGATGCCACCTTCTCGTTACTCCCTTGAAGGGCCAGATAAGATAGGGAGGTTTAGGAAGAGAAGCCATAAAGCTCAGGGCATCCCCTTAACTGGGAAATGGCTAACATTCCACTCATTTACACTACCAGACACCGCAGCACACTGACCCCTTGTGTCCCTAGAGTGAGGCTAGGGCTAAAGTGATGATGTCAGTTGGCCGGGCGGCCGATCGCTCGGTCTGTCAGTCAGTCGGTCGGTCGATCGGTCGGTCGGTCAGTCGGCTTCCTGTCTTCGTACTACAATCGTCTTGAGGAGAAAACAAACAGGGAGTAGTACACCACACAAGGGTGTTAGCAATAGGGACATCTGTCCAGAACTCACCTAGGAAACCTCACAAATTAGAGTCTCCTGATCTACATTGGGCTGAAGAAGAAACTGAGGCACAAAAGGTCAAGTTTCATACCGTCTCTCAGCTGGTGTGAGGTTGAGCCAGGATGAAACCCAGGGCTTTCCAAGGCTCCCCACCACACCCTGCTGCTGAAGACTGCCTAGCAAGATTGTGCCGAATGCTGGGGGCGTGATGTGGGTGGGCAGAAGATGGATTGAACCTCCCAGCACACTTGATATCTCAGCTCTTTCATGGCCCAATCCTTTTGAAGGGCAGGGTCAAAATTAGGAGTAAGCACCTATAGGTAGAGGCCTGTGCAGGTAGTGTTATTAATCTGATGAGAAAAGGACCCCTATTTATCAGTAATCAAATTTAGGGTAGAGAGAGTGGGGGGAGTAGGGCTTGTTGGTACAGAGATGAGTTAGAGAGAACAAAATGTTCTGGGGCTCTGGTGAGCTTTCTGTTGGAAAGTGTCAGCTCTGAGTAGCTGGGGCTTAGGGCTGGGAACAGAGACCTCCTAAGGCAGGCAGGCCCCTCATCTCAGGGAGGCGACCTACATTGAACATTATGGTGGGTGGGGGACCCAGTACATCAGACACAAATCAGGAATCTGAGCTTCCTCTCATCTCAATTTGCCATTTGTAGGAGAAAAATAAAAACCAAGCATCATTCTAAGAGGCTATTCCACTTATCTGTGAGAGAAAGGGGCACCA